TATGGACTTGTAAATTATTGTTCAAAAATTATATTTGTTCACTTCACATGTGCTTAATGTTTTACCTTTCTGTTATTTATTGAATGATTGAATGCATATAGCAAAGTTAAAGTGCTTTTTATAATCATGGATCTCTTATAGACAAATTAATTATTGGCATAAGTGATTTCATTGATTCCCTGCAAGTACCTAAGCTAGGTTTTCATGAAAAATTTTCAATCTTAATTTTCATTTATGCTTTAACTATGAATGAGATAACTTAACAGTCGCTACCAGCCTTCTTTCTAGCTTGGTGGTTGTGGACCTCTAACTCCAACCACTAGGTTGTGGGTTCGAGGGCTGGTAGAGAGAGAGAGAGACAAAATAGAGAGAGATTTGAGGTATTCTAAAATACCTACTTTTTATAAATAAAAAAAAAACAGTCATTAGATGACTTATAAGACTGCTTGCTTGTTTATAGACGGGTTAAGTCTTGACATAAATAATCCTTGCAAATCTCTACAAAACATCCGAGTCATGCTCTTAATTCACACATCCCATCTTTATCCTCCAATTAACCTGCTATTGACTTAGGGGTTAATTGAGTAATGTACAAGGCACAAATATAATAAATGGATGAATAAGTACATGTCTAGATCCTCAAGCTAAATGACTTTTATTTTCATTTAAGAGAATCTTATATTTTGTCTAGAAAATACTATCATCATCATAACTTCAAATCTTAAGGGTTCCAGTCACTTTGGTCTTTATCACTTTTAACTTTAAAATACTACATTAGTTCCTTTTGTATTCGAATCTGGACTTAGTTGGATTATAACTATAACTTGATTGCCTGCACTTAGGTGTACACATTTCAAATCAAATCAAGCGAGCCCTATTATTTTTTCGTGGTCTTTTCCTCTTTCTTTTCCCTAAATCATAAAGAGATTGATCTGGAGAAGGCTAGTGAGCATAGGGCAGTTCCTACTAGTTTTTCAAGCCTAAAACCAAGCACAAAAATTGACCTTTTAAACACTAAAGGATGTTGCTCAAAAAGTGGTTTACCCTCAAAATTATGGTATTGCAAAAGTTGTTCCCTAAGCGTAGGGAGGCTTATGTGTCGTGTATTAACTCGAAAAAAGTTTTGAGGTTGTCTCCTCAGGGAAGGTCAAGACTAAGTGTTTCGAAAGTGATTTTGAAAATAAAAGTTAAAATTGGTTCGTTGATAGTGTTGGTCAATCGTGAGATTTGAGGTTCAAAAATTCATAAATAAAAAGGGTTGGCTAATCCTTAGAATTCATCCCATTGGGTATGGTTAATCAATCCTCCTTATAACTTAATTGAACTCAAAAGTGTTCTTGTTCTATTGGAAGATAGGAATTAGAAATCAAGGATTACCAAATGTGTGTTTTGGTGTTAAATTGATTCGTAGGAAGATTGATTCATATATGTTTGAAGGGACGATAAGCGCGCCTTGTGACAAGTCTACGTTGCATCAAATGTGTTCAAATGTATACATTGCAATCTACCTAGTCAAATTCAACACACTACACTACAAGGCAATGTGTGTGAAGATTAATTTTCCCCTACTTGGATGGAAATCCTTCCTTGGATTTCGCCAACAAATGGTTTAGCCGGCCATAGATGAAATGAAATTGCTAAAGAAAATGGAAAACATTACATAGGAAACACACACCAACTTAAACTAGCCTAAGAAAAGGGTAAACAACTTAAAGCTTGATCAAATATCCTAAAACATATAAGTTTAAAGCACAAATGTTCAAATACTTAAAAATTGAGTTTCCCCAAGCCTGATGTCATGGTGAAACTCTAACAAAATGCATTCATCATGGAAAATGGAAGTTATACCAAGTTTAGAAATGAAGATTATAAGCTTTAAAAACTTACTAGACCGAAAATGATCAAGAAAATACAAAAAATCCAACTTTTTCTCTCTAAAATAATGGTCCTTCTTCCTTGGAGCTTCTCTCTCTAAAAGCTTGAATGTGATTGTGTGTTCCTTGCATCCATTTGTGCATAATACTCTCTCTCCACTAAAAAGTGCGGGGAGACCTTGATTGGAGAAAAATTGTCCAAAATTTCTTTTCAATTCAACAAAGGTATGGTCTCCTTGTCCTTTCCAACCATTCTCTCTTTCCTCATGGTTTCTCTTTTTTCCTCCACTCATTTATGCTTGAAAGCTAAATGTAGTGGTTGGGGTCATGGTAGAGTGTTAATAATGTCACAATATGGCTTAGATGTCCTTAGGAGTATCCTTGTGGCCAAAAACAATGTTGAGAGTAAAATTCGGGGAAGTCTGAGCATATGTACCGGTACCAAGTGATGATGGTATCGGTACCCCACTTCTAGTGAGCTCAGGTACCAGTACTTAGTGATGAAGGTACTAATACCTCATTCATTCTTCAATTTCAAAAAGGCTGAGGTACCAGTCTCAAGTACTAGTATTTAGCTTCACAAGTACTAGTACTTAGCTTCTAGTGGCCTTAGGTACTGGTACTTAGCGTCACACGTACCGATATCTCTTTGCTTGCTTTGATTTTTGCACTTCAACACTTTCAAGCCCTCATTTCTTCAACCTTTGTCCACTAAAAACATTGCATAGTGATAATACCCTGTATTTACACCCCAATCACCTACAATCACACATTTCTCTATTAATTTCCAAATTAAACTAAATTCAAATAAATTATTGCAAAGCCAAGCTAAAATGAATGTAATGAGACTGTTAAATATGAAATATTACGCACTCATCATGTTCCTAAAAAATAACCCGCTAATGGTTCAAACTATATTTTCAAAATACAAACAGTTTAGAAAATCTATTCATTTTAAATTACCTAGGAGCCATACACAAATTAATCCCTAATTACATTTTAACTCTAATCCTCCTAAGTCTATTAAACCAAGGGATTATCTTAGGTATCTAGGTCATTACATGTATCCTAAGTTTGAAGGTTCAACTGAAGTGTGAATGATGTAACTTTAATGGTTGATCTCCTCCCTTCAATTACACTTTCAAATCTTCAATTTTTATAGCATTATGACCATGAATGTTAATATTTAGAATGGACTTCATGAAATTAACCAATTACAAAATATGTTCTACCAAGGTGAATAATGAACTAGGTGGGAATGCTAATTGGGTATATGAAACAGATGGAGGTGTTGATTCAAATGTGGAGGTTTAAGGAATTTCTTATTTAAGGTGTGTTTGATGGATAATTCAAAAGTCCATCCTTTAGATGCAAGCACTTCTTAAAGAGATAAGGTTGTTTGTTGTCCAAAAAAATTTAATCTTATTAAAAAATTCATCTTCAAGATGTCAATTCGCGAGAAGTCTTTTAGGGGAGTTTCTCAAAAACATCTTAGTTGCACTTGTCGGGAAGTAATTTTTAGTTTCACATTGATTTCCAAAACTAGTCTTAATTTTTGTGATTAAACATCTATTTTTGCCCTCCTTCATATGTAATTTACATATGTTAGATTATAGGATAGGAAGCAAAAAAAGATATATCGTACTAGAACAGTAATTGTAGATAGACATGACTAGTTATAGATACATATTGCTTCAAAAACACTTCTAAAACACAATTTTAACAAACAGTTAAATATATAAAAAAATTTATTTTAAAAAATCCATATTAAGGATGAACTTTTAAAAGTTATGTCAAATGCAACTTTAGTTAATCTTGTATATAAGTTGCTAAAAACTAGAATTTATTTGAGTAGATAATTATCATATTTTATAATAAAAATTTAATGAAAAAAAGAATTTTAGAGTGTATATATCTTAGATCTTATATCATAGCCTATATTTAATTGAGTAATGTTATTTGAATATAATTTATTGATCTAATTTATTAATTTAATTCATTATGATCCTCATCAAATATTAAAACTTAAAGTAGATCCAATAATTTTAATGAAATTACATTATTAGATTAATAAATTAGGTTAAATTTTTAGAAATTGGTAGTCAATGCCAGCGAATCCTTATTCATTTTTATAGGAAATGGGGACCGCGAAAATCTGTTGCTGGTGTCTCTATGCATACATATGGTTGCCTATAAATAAAAAATGCATCAGACCTCGATTTTCGATTTTTTAATTTTATATATAGATCCCTAAGGTTTGTAATAAATTGCACCCACACCTTTTAAAGTTTATAGATATATAATACTTAAATTTTTTAAGTCTAAAATATTATATTTAGACTAAAAATATTTCAATCAAATATTTTAAATTTTATAACTAAATTCATGTTATATCGTATTATTTATTGAAATAAAATCAAAAATAAAAATCTAATTATTTTAAAAAAATTATAATTAGTATATAATTATATTATCTATTGAAATAAAACAAAAAAAATTAAACAAGGGGTCTAAATCATTCATAATATAACATGAATTTACAATCAAAATTCATATTATATTATGTTATTTATAGAAATAAAATCAAATATAAAAATTAATTTTTTCTTAAAAAATTATAATTAATATACAATTAATTGGTTGTAAAATTTAAAATATCCACATCTCAAGGTCAAACATCGATGAGCACATTGAAGTATTCATGTGGCTAAGAGTCCTCACAGTCTAGCACATCGATGAACACATTTAAGTATGATATTTTAAATTTGAGAGATTTAAGTATTATAAGTTTATAAATTTCAGGGTATTTAGATATAATTTATTAATTGATATATTACCAACAGGTATATAAATGTTAAACGTGTACAAATTTTAAAAAATTTATATGTAATATTTTAAATATATAGCTGCGTGAATATGTCAAACCTCATGATCGGGTGCAATTTCTTAAAAAAAAAAAAAAAATAAATAAATAAATAAGTTGCCCACTTTAGCCGGGGGACCGATTCCATTTCCAGATGTACTCTCTCTCTCTCCTCGTCAGAGCCTCGGCACTCCATAATTTCACTCCTGATATAAATATAAGGAACCACTATTGGAAGAACTCTTCTGAAGACCATTGCAAGTATGGCGTCTCAAAGTAAAGTCGGGTTCATTGGGTTGGACGACCTGAGTTTGGAATTAGCTGCTTCACTCCTTCGCGCTGGCTATGGCGTCCAGGCGTTTGAGGTCTGTTTTTCATTTATAATCTCTACTTTCCGAATTTGATTAATATGTTGCATTCCTTCGAAGAAATATTTTTTGTTGCTCTCTAAAGGAAAATTTTAAATTATTTTGCTTTAGAAAAGCAATCTTTTTAATTCAAATTTTCCAGCCCAAGATAAAGGTTGGTATATTAGTTTTAGTTATGAGATCAAGTGGCATTGCCTAACGCTATTGTAAAAGTGGTCAAGGGTATTGCCTGATGAAGTGTCTGGAAAAAAGCCTTTTCTGATGCTGATAATGCATGAATTACTTTAAATTTACTTGTTAGATTGGTTTTATGTGGGTCTGAATGGTCATCATTACGGGGGAGATTGTGTTTTTTAATGGTGAGGTCGACAGCAAATGAGTTAATGGCAAAAATTCCTAATTGTGAAAGTAGAAAGAAAGAATAAAATAGGTTCCTTTGTAACGGGATTTTATTCTGAAAACAATAAAATTAATGTTAATGGTTTACATTAAAGATCTGACCGCCAAGTGGTACGTTGACAGTGATTGGGATTACAATTACATTGATTCAGTCCTGTTTATCTACTGAGTTTTCATTTCAAATCTGTCACATTTTAATTTATTTATGAGGCTCGATCTTGTCTTCAGTTATAAATCTCAGATATCCAACAGATATGATGATTGATGGATATTTTCTGACTTTATGTACAACATGGAGTTCACACAATCAACTGCGTAGATGACATGGTTGTTCTTTGTTCTCATTTCTTTATCTGAAATGGAGGGTTTTGTTTTGCTGTGTTTAGTTTTCTTCTATCCTGTTCTTCCCCTCCCTTTTTATGAACACATTAATGGCACATAATTGCTGTGTTCAAAGTTAATAGATTTAGGTACCGTCTGAATCTCTTTTTCTAGTACTTCTGTTTTTTTTTTTTGATGTTTCAGTACTTCTGTTTTTTTTTTTTTTTTGGCTGTTTTAAGTAAATTTTTAAGTAGAATTTGTTTTTACACCTTTTCTCTCTTGTTTTTTCTTTGTTCGAGTTTACTCCTTTCCTACAAGATTAACTGAATTATTTCTGTTATACATATGCACATATATGCATGTTATTCATACAATTAGACGTATATATATGCCTTACGAGTGGCGTTTCATATATCTAAAAGAGTCCTAACCTGAATAAGTATGGTAAGAAGAAAATAAATTAGAACATCAAGGATATGATCAGATGCTTCAAATTCAATGATCTAAAGGGCGTGGGGAGTATTAGATGCACTAAAAGAAAGAAGCAACTAAGTTACCTGAGTAAGCATAGAAGGTGGAAGTAGTGGTGGATGTACCTAGTTTAGATATAAAGAGCCTAAGACTTTCACTCTCCTTGACAAGATTCTCAATATTAGATGCAGATGGACATGAGATTGGGGTAGTAGCTCTGGCAAGATGAGCTACAAAATTGTGATGAGCATGGTTCCAAAAATTATTGCCTGAAAGACCCTCTCTACGTTCGAATGTACCATGACCTATGTCTCCAGCAGGTCTTTTGGATGTGTCATGTCTTGTTATAAGAGTCACAAGAGAACCTATCCTATCATCCAAGGAGGAATCCATGGTTGTACCATTGGCTTGACATTTTTGACCTTACCTTGTTAAGAAGTTGTAATCAATACAAATCTTTCCCTTTTGTGAGATTGCATCATCATACCCCTCATACTCTTCTCACTTTGAACGTATACATATAACAATAAGGGAAGGGAGAAGCTCCTTGCCCAAGATTTTAAAGCGGAACTAATCGGCCTTAGACATAAGCCTAGTTGAAAAATCAAAGATATGTTCATGCTCAACTATTTAATGGACCTTCGAAACATTGTTTGGTAGTGGTGTAACTCTAGTCAGAGACTCCAATGTGAAGTCCTAGAGGGGGAGGGGGAGGGAGAGTGCATAGGACTACTCTAAAAATCTAGAACTTCCTTTTTGGGAGTTCTCTTGTTTAGCTCGGAGTCCTTTTGCTTGTTTCTTCAATTAATTCGAACGAAGGCATTATGGTCACTTTAGCTTTTCACTTACATTTGCATGTTAGCTTGGTTCATATTAGTGTGAGGAATGTATTACCAAAAGGCCTAAGTTTGTTATTTGTAGTGTAGAGGCAGAACAATCTTGTTATGTAGAAGCTGGTCGACCAAGATAAGGGCCGGTTACTTGCAATAAAGATAGCTGCTTGGTTGTTACAATGCATCTTCATAGGGGATGATACATCAAGTATGGGAACGATTTTCAATAATCGTGTTCTACCTTTTAAACTAGTATGGAAACGATTGGTTTTTATGGCTTCCCTTTGGACTAAAGGTACAAGAAATTTTAGAGAGTTGTCTTTGTCAAATTTTCAAAGGAAATGGATGGCGGCTCTACTTTAGTTTCATTTTTTCCATTTTATCCTTTTCTTAAATCTTTTTTATGGTAGATATCTTGTCCTATATATTGTATTATGCTCTTTATTCCTTTCAATAATAAAATTCTTCTTTTATCAAAAAAAAAAAAAACTAAAAGAAAGCCGAGCCACCTTCCAATTCTGTTGAAGCTCCAACAAAAGTATCCCTCTGAAGTTTCACGTGGCTTTGGTCCAAAAAGAAGCCACAAACACAATTCTTTCACAAATTTCTAATGGAAGATAACGATCATTGAACATTCTTATGACCTTAGCTTCTTTGTTCTTCCCAAAATTCGTAACTTGATCTGCAACACCTCCGCTATAGAAGGATTTGCCCAAGCCTCACAAATCACATTGAATACGCTGTTCTAAAATGATTCCAAGCTTTATGAGGCCTCCTCACCTGGGTCAAATTGTTAGTATTCACCTGTTTAATGACAATAGATCTAACGAATTCTTTGACATTCCAAGGAGCTTTGGCTTCACAAATGACTTTATCTACAAAAGGACTGAGCATTACGGGAGCTTAGATGATACGTGTAAAAAGATGTGAAAGAGAAGTTACCAGATTTATCAATAGTCCAAAGCCTATGATTATGAGAACAACAAAAACGAAAGCTATTAAGATAGTTATGCAAAGAACTTTAAGTCTATTTGTTTCATTAAGAGGTAGTAGTTTTTCATTTGGATGCAATTTGATGTTTATTTTAATGTTTTCATCTTCAGACATTCAGCCCTTTGATGGACGCATTTTTGAAGCTTGGGGGAGTAGGATGTGTGAACCCTATGGAGGCTGGGAGAGGTAAGCACGATGTTTGCTTTACTTGGTTGATCCTTTCGATTGTCTATTTTTATCCTTTTTAGCATCTAAACTGGATTAATGTTGTTGCTTTAGCCAACTGTAGTTATTTAAATTTGACCATACTATTACCTCAAGTGATTCTTGTATTAACAATGTAGTGATCTAACAACTATTTAAAGAAACAATGAGGTCATTAATGTGAAGCTCTTACAAAATCTATAGTCAGCCTATCATCCACCATATTCCATGATTCCATCAATGTCTCCTGGCATATGTCTGATGGGGGCCAGGCAAGCACTAGCCTTAATTTCGTCTATAAAGCACATATTTTTGTTAAATAATCTGGCAAATAATTTAAAATTATTATGACTATACATCCCCCATGGACCATTGACCATATACCTAGTGTTTTGAACTTTGATTCAAGTCTTTAGGAACTTCTTTTCCTATTTTTCCATTTGTGTTTTCCTTTCAGACCATTTATCATATGAGTAATTCTGTTAAGAACATTTTCCCTCGGGCTCCACATTTTTTGCTGGAAAGTTAGGGTAGAACATTAGTTTCCAAGAACTTTAATTGTTTTAGGTTCACTTTGCAGAAATGATAAATCCACGTTTCCAGGAAAGAAAACGTAAAACAAGTGCCTTGATTTGCTGGAAGTTGTTGCCAAATTGTGGGAAATGTTAGGCAAAATAACCTATTAACTGCAGTGTCAACCAGGGCCTGGTTGCAGCTTAGGAGTATGCCCATTTCTGCCGTAAAGGTTACTGGTATATTTGTACTGCATATCTAAAGTAGCTGATAATTTTATTGGAAAGTTTAAGCCATTACTGACGAGAAGGCCGTAGTATTGCCATCACACATGAGTATGATATTGTGGTGGGGTGGACTTAGTATGGATTTAGTCTCCTAGCGGTTTTTTTTTTTCTTCCTTTTTTTGATGAATCCTGCATTCCCATGCTCTTTCCCTTTGTATGTAGAAATGGCCCTCCATCTTAAGCTATTTGTGCTGCACATCTAAATTAGCTATAATGTTATTGGAAATTTTGAGCGATTACTAACGAGAAGGCCAGAGTCTTGCCCTTCGCCTGTGAATGTGATATTGTGGGAGGGATGGACTTAGTATGGATATAGTCTCCGAGCTTTTTTTATTGTTTTTGGTGAAGTGGCTACTTTGGTATTCGGTCCCATGCTCTTTCCCTTTGTACCAAGAAATAATCCTCCATCTTACCCAAAATTCTGGGAGGGAAAAGCAACTTAAGATCCGTCAATTATCGGGGATGATAATGACATTTTGTATTTGTTTATTTTAGAAATTACACGTTGGAAGCATAAAGCATTATATATGTTTACTATACTTGCAGTTGTTTCCTCTTCTTCTTCTGTATCTTTGATGCTGCTAACTAACATGATCTCTCTTTCTTCAAGAATTTTTGACCCCATTGGTATTTTAGTTAAGCGTTCTAGTAGTGTTTTATTTGTGGTAATCAAAATAAGCTTTCCAAATCTCCACACTAGCATCATTTTAACTTTTTGAGCCCTTGTGCGAAATATATGCCAGAAAATTTTATTTTGTTAAAGACAATCTGTTTTTAGATATCTTAGTATGCAGTGTAGATAGAATACTAATGAAACATTGTTAATACATAATATCGACTACAAATAATTTCCATTTCGTAAAGGTGGAGTATAAATCCTAATGACTTTGTTTATCCCAATTTGAAAGATCACTCTTTTTTGTTTTTGCTCGAGTAAATCACTTCTCAAAAGTTCATTTCCATTATATTGTTCGAATTGTATTATGAATGTCTTTTCTTTAGCGATAATCGTAAATGAGATGAAAGCATAAGAACTTGTATAACATCAGTAGTTAGTTATTGTAGAATGTTAGGTTATTTCAATTAAGGGTATTAATGTAATCTTCATTTTATTATGAGTTAATATAAATATGGGTGATGAGAGGAGAGGTTGATTAACTTTCATTCGCCTAAACCTTATTCTCTAATCAGTTTCTTCTCTTCTCTCTTCTCTTGCCTCTTCTCATTCTAAACCCTAAGATTTAAAATATTTAGATTTCATCTGTTTTACCAACTACAACTAACACCGAAATAAGTATCATAAAAATAGGATTCCCAACGATGAACTTTGAGATGAGACCATGCAGTAACAGTTAACAAAAGAAGTCCAAAGATTATCTCTCTTTTATAAATCTGAATTATGTTAACACCTTCAGATTTGACTACCTTATGGTATATCCTTCATGTCTTTGCTTGCAGGTGTTGGAGCTTTAATCATATTGATTTCTCATGCAGATCAAATAAATGACATTATTTTCAGTCATGAGGGTGCTTTAAAAGGTCTTTAGTAGGCTTCTCAGCACTGTGTCAAATCGATAGTAGGTCGACATAGTTACTGTGTGGTGATGTTCATTTCTGGACTTGCAGGGTTGCAGAAACATGTAGTCATTATTCTCCATTCAACCATATCACCTGCATATATCCAGAAGCTAGAGAAGAGCATTACAGGCAACTTTTTTCTTCATATTTCTTGTTGAATGATGACATGTTTTCCAAATTAGAGTAGAATAATGTATGCAATCTTAAATCTTAGAATAATGTATGCAATCTTAAATGCTCCCTTCAAGTTTTTCTATTTTTGTGCACAGTTGGTCCCGAATTGTTGAATAACATTTTCCTAGGACAGACAACCATGTTTTGGTGTCAACAAGGGGGGCCCCAGTTGTGTGTGTGGTAAGGAGAAGTCAGCTGCCACATTTGCAAATAAAATTAGTGAAATTTGTGTGTTGGTGTGTGGTTTTCTGAAGTATATCCACCACACCATCTATCATTCTCGTGAGTTGACCTCTAGTACACTATTGGTTTCTTGGAGGATGCCTTTGCTGGCTCCAGTTTTTTGGAGTGTTACTTTTTAGTTTATCAACATTCTACAGCATATCAGAACCCTTATTTTTCTTTCCTTTTCTATTTTTGTTATTTATTTTAGATTTACTATTGATCGTCGCCACTGCTATTTTTTTTCCTGTCGCTGCGACAAATCCCATGGCTGGACAACAACAACTAGAGATAATGCAGCGGTGAACCAAAACCAGCTAATCCTACAGTTGATGCTCATCAGACACCGTCAAGGAATCGTGCCCCAGCCCCTGGGAGGGGAAGCACCCCAGGCACTCTGCCCAGGGCGCCAAGGCACCCCCCAGTAGTGTGCCCAGTGTCAGGGTGCCCCCTTGTAGTGCCAGGGCGCCCCCTTGCAGTGCCAGGGCGCCCCCTTGTAGTGCCAGGGCATCCCTCCTCAGTGCCTAGGCGACCCAGCTTCCCCTATTCATGTGTCGACTTCGTCCTCCCATGCTGGTGACCCTCTTACGCAAGAAGACGAAGGGGAAAATCAGTACGTGGACCACAAAAACCACTACAACAATCTTTCAGAGAGCGTCCCTAACCAATGAGACGAAAAAATTAAGGTACAGAATCAACTAGGTGATGTCTTCAACACCATCAAGGCACGAATGCCGGAAATAGTTGACTACCTTGTGAGACACACTAACACTCGATTCGTGACTGATATAGCCCATTACCCCTTCCCCTCAAAGTTCAGGATGCCAACTATGGAAGCTTTTGACAGCACAAAAAATCCATTGGACCACCTTGATACTTATAAATTTCTCATGCATTTGCATAACATATCAGACGAAAAAATGTGTAGAGGCTTGCCTACCATCCTCAAGGGATTTGCACACCAATGGTTCGCCAAACTCAAACTAGCTTCCATTAATTCTTTTGCTAAACTAAGCAAATCATTTTTCTCCCACTTCATTGGGAGGCGCCGACTTCAGAAGCCTGTTACTCACTTGCTCAGCATCGATCAATATCGGGATGAAAGCCTAAAGAGTTACCTCACTCGTTTTAACGAGGAGGCCCTCTAGATCAAAGAGCCAAATGACAAAGCCACCATGACTGCCTTTATTGTAAGCCTACGTTCATCGAGTTTTATGTTCGCGGTCTTGAAGAAATCGCCAACAGGCATGCCGGAATTATTGTCAGAGGCCTAGAAATATATAAATGTTGAGGACGTCACCAAGGACAAACGAGGTGAATCCTCCCGGGGAGGGGAGAAGAGGAAGGAGCCCCGTGAAGACAGAAGAGAAACAGAGAATACAAGGAAGAGGACAGAGAGAGTGCCAGCTAAGGACCGCCTTGGCCCTACACCTCAGAGGGAGCGACAGGCCTCACATTGTTTAATGCTTCAGCTAAGCATATTTTGCCCCAAATTTAGGATGAGCTTGCAATACGTTAGCCGAAAAAAATGAAGTTTGCCCTAAATCGTAGGAACCCAAACAAATACTGTCACTTTCACAGCGATCATGGCCACGATACTGACAACTGCTTTGAACTTAAGAGGCAGATGAGGACCTTATATAGCGTAGGCAGTTGCGGCAACACGTGGCAGGCAGATGCGATACCTCACCACTAGGTCGCAACTAGAATGAGAGAGAGCACCAACAACCCCAAGGAGAAATCTAGACAATCTCCGGATGGATAGGAGGATGAGCTGACTCCAACTTAGCTAAGAAGGCACACACTAGAAACGTTAGGCACACGGATGACCTACGCCCGTTGAAGTCTCACAAGCGAGGAGACGACGAGGTCATCTCCTTCTCAGACAAAGACTTGGAGGAAATTCAGCACTCCTATGACGACCTAGTAGTACTAACCATGATGGTCGACAACTACCGGGGAGGATCGTTGTGGATAGTGGCTGGCAGTTTTGCTGACATCTTGTTCGCCAAGACGTACGATAACCTTCATCTTGGCCAATGATCAAAATTTTGTTTTGATACATTATTTCATTCACCTAAAAAATGGAAATGTTTCGACATGTTTCGAAAATCTTTTGACCCATTGTGAAAACAGAATAAAAAAATAAAAAATTTAAGAATTATTTTTTTAAAACATTGGTTGAAATATACCAAAATATCTTAGAATACTTTAAAATATTTTGAAACAATTGTACAAATACATTGAAATATAACAAAATATTATGGACCACTTCAAAGTATTAGAATTTCGATTCCATCATTGATTTCTTTGGGAACGAAAACGTTTTGGATGTTTTGACCGTTTTGAAACGATATTTTGATCTTTGATCTTGGTAGGGAGAGACTTCAACCCATTAGGATGCCTCTCATCGGTTTTTTAAGAGAAAAGGCGTACCCCTGGGCTTCATCACTCAACCAGTCACTGTGAGTACAACATCGAGAATCTCCACTATAATGGTGAATTTTTTGATGTTGGATTTGCTGCCTTTTAGCAACATCATCTTTGGGAATCTTGCACTAAACACCCTGAGGGGGGTGCCATTCGCATATCACCTTATTCTCTGTTTTTCAACCTCAAGCGGAATTGGAGAAATTCGAGGAGATCAAGTTGCCACTAGGGAGTGTTATATTGCCTCTATGAGGGCCAAAAAACCTTAAAAGGCCCTACAAGTGAAAGTGCTTGACCCTAGGGATGACAGTACACTAGAGAGAGGAGACCCAGTATAGGTGCTTGTACCAGTAGTCCTCGACGAAAGTTTTTCGGACAGGAGAATCTTTATTGGCTTCTCATTTCTTGAAGATCGAGCTCAACAACTGATTAATTTTATTAGATAGAACATTGACGTCTTTGCTTGGTCTCACGAAGACCTTGAAGTCATCACCCACCGGCTCAATGTCGATCCCCGACACAAACCCATCTGCAAAAAGCTGAGAAGTGTTGCTACTGAAAGGGTGCAAGCCATGGAGAAAAAAGTGGGGAAGCCATTAGCAAATGGGTCGGTGAGAGAGGTGGTTTGCTAAGTCTGGCTATCCAATGTTGTGATTGTGACCAAGACTGGAGGAAAGTGACGCCTTTGTGTGGACTTCACTGAGCTCAACAAAGCCTGTCCCAAAGATAGCTACTCTTTGTTGCGCATCAACATCCTCATTGATGCCATAGCTGGTCATGAGCTACTTAGTTTCCTAGATGCCTACTCTGGATATAACTAGATTAACATGTATCCCCTAGTCCAGGAGAAGACATCTTTCATCACTCCTAAAGGGACCAACCGTTACAAGGTTATGCCCTTTGGGCTAAAAAATGTAGTAGCAGCATGCCAACGACTGTAAACAAGATGTTCCAGTCACAGTTCGGGAGAACTATGGAGGTATACATACATTACATGTTAGTAAAGAGCCTTGCCGCAGCAGACTATGTGACCTACGGAGACCTTTAACGTCTTGAGGTCTTACAACATGAAATTAAATCCTGATAAGTGCACCTTTGGCACAGGATCATGAAAATTCTTGGGTTTCATGGTCAATAAGAGGAGAATTGAGGTGAATCTGGAGAAAATCAAGGCCATTCTGGACATGAGGTCCCTCGCCACTGTAAAAGAGGTCCATCGTCTTAGCGGAAGAGTTGCAGCTCTTAATTGATTCCTCTCGAAGTTCGTTGATATGTGTTTACCTTTCTTCAGAATCCTCCAGAGGCTTTTGAGTGGGGACTTGATACGAAAGAAGTTTTCTAGAAACTAGAAGCTTATTTTTTCGAATCCCTTTGTTGTCCCACTTCATGCCTAGAGAGACCTTGTACCTTTACTTGGATGTCTCCCACTTCATACCTAGGGAGAATAAAGGAATACTAAAACCCATCTATTATGTGAGTAGAGCTTATCGAGGAGCAGAGATAAGATACTTAAGGTTGGAGAAGCTAGCTCTCGCCCTAGTTATGGCCAGGTGCCTTCGACACTTTCAGAGCCGCACCATCATGGTTGTCATGGATAAACCACTGAAAAGAATATTGAGAAAGCTGGATATGTTCAGAAGGCTCCTCAAATGGGCCATCAAATTAGGCTAGTTTGACGTGAAATGCCAGCCAAGAGCGACAATCAAGGCACATGTGTTAGCAGATTTTGTGGCTGAGCTCACGTCGATTGATGAGAAAGGTAGCAAAGAAGAATCAACACCCATTGCCAGTTCCTCGGTGCTTGCCTGCCTTTGGGCCAGCTCGTCAAGCACCGCGCCCAAATCCCTTGGCACCTTGGCCTTGGCGCCCAGCTCCCTAGGTGCCTTGGCCTTGGTGCCCAGCTCCCAGGCGCCTTGTTCACCAAGCACCTCTGCCTTGGTGCCTTGTTCCCTAGGCACCTTGGCACTCTCCTCCTCTGCGTTCCAGCACGGTGCCCTGCGCTGTGCCTACATACAAACCTTGCTGGAGACTTAACATAGATAGGTCCTTAACTAATGAAGGGAGTGGAGCGGGCCTAGTACTCATCAGCCCCAACGACACTCCTCTCAAATACGTCGTATCACTTCATTTTGCAGTCTTCAACAACGAGACAGAATATGAGGCACTCATCTCTTGCTTGAGACTGACAATTGAAATGGAGGCCTGTTATCTCACCGTCTATGGTGACTCCCAAATGGTAGTTAACTAAGTAAAGAGAGATTTCAAAGCGAGATAATAAAGGAATGTAGGTAGCAAACTTTACTAATAAGGTTTCACTATTTCTTGATTCAATATGTATAAGGGAGGATAATATAGTAGTAGACACACTGACCAAGTTTGTATCAACTTCAAATATTCCACTAGGTCCCACATTTACGGGTCACCAACTTGAGCTAAGTAGGCTCAAAACGAATGTAGGTAGCATCAACTGCGCATCCACCAACAACGACTGGATGACACCCATCTGGGTGTATCTAGAAGAGGGCACTCTCCCAGACAGTCTAGTGGAAGCCAAGAAGCAAAGGCTAAGGGCGTCAAAATGTGTCATCTAATAGGACATCTTCTACAAGAGGAGCTACTCACTGTCGTTACTTCGCTGTCTCTCTCTAGAGGAATCTGACTATGTCATGAGAGAGGTCCACGAGGGAGTATACGAAAATCATTCTGAAGGGCATTTTTTAGCTCATAAGGCAGTCAGACAAGGCTACTATTGACCTAATATAATTAGAGACACCGAGAGTTTGTGAAGAAGTGTGACAAGTGCCAAAGCTTCGCCACTGTGCCAAGGCAACCACCAGAAGAATTGACCACCATCATGAGTCCTTGTCCATTCTCTAAATGGGGCATCGATATCCTAGGTTTCCTGCCCATGAGTTGCGGCCAGTGTGAATTTGTGGTATTCATCGACTATTTCACAAAGTAGACAAAAGCTGGGCTCTTAGCCAAAATAACAAATAAGAAGGTGAAAGACTTTATCTGGAGAAACATGGTGTGTCACTTCGGAATACCCCATGCCATATTGAGTAATAACACCAAGCAGTTTGCCAACAAGCTTCTCAATAGTTTGTGTCGACTTTCAAATTAGGTAGCCCCACTCCAGTCAAGCCCACCTTTAGGCAAACCTACTAGTCGAAGTCACCGTAAAAACTATATTGCGTAATCTGAAGATTAGATTGGAAAAGACCAATGGACTATGGGTAGAGGAGCTCTCGGGAGTGCTGTGGGCCTACCGGACAACGCCAAGGAGTCCCATTGGCGAGACTATTTTCTCTCTCGCCTTTGGGACAAAAGCAGTCATACTTGTCGAGATCGGGGTACACTCATTGAGTGTCCAACACCATGATCCGTGCACCAATGAAGAAGGCCTCAGTGTTAACTTCGACTTGATAGAGGAGGAAAAGGATATAACTATGATCACGAATGCGGAATAAAAGTGTTGCATAACCAAGTACTACAACTCGAGGTGAAGCCTCGCTCTTTCTTACTTGGGGACTTAATCCTTAAGAAAGTGACATTGGCCATTAAAGACTCGTGTGAGGGGAAGTTAGGACCAAACTGGGAAGGGCCATACATTATCACGGAAATTGTGAGGCCATACACTTATAAAATCCCGAATTTTGAAGGAAAGATCTTAGCCCATTCATAGAATGCTAAACATCTGAAGGGATACTACCAATAATGCGAGGAGAGAGCCAGAGTAATAAAACTATAGGATTCTATTTAGTCTCAAGCCTAGGCTTGTACCTTTTTTGGGATTACTAAATAAAATTTTTTGAGATTACCACCCACCACTATTTACTATGAGCAGTTATCAAATAAAGTTTGCAAATTTATTTCAAATTTGCCTTGCTTTTTCATTGCATAAGAAGTTTGGAAACAAAAGCCACTTCCACAAAAGTGAGAGCACAGCTTGTCTGCTCAGAACTCTAACTACCCTCGTTGCAGTCACCTTTCTCATCGTCATCTGACTCTCCATCAACAAAGTGCTCGCCATCAACATAAGCAATGTTCAGCTCCTCATAAGGAACGAATCTAGAGAAGTCTATGCTGGAAAAAGCAACCGAAACTTTCCTTCTGAACTCCTCATAGCCATCAATAAAGGTGCCCATAGTTCTATTCTGCAGATCCTCCTTCCTCATCCTCTCCATCTCCAAGGAATGAGCCTCTACTTTAGTAGCCCTCTCATGGGTTGACTGTAGTTCTACCTCAAATCTAGAAGCCCTCTCATTGGTTGACTATAGTTCTACCTCAAATCTAGAAGCCTTCTCATTGGTTGACTGCAACTCTACCTCAAATCTGGAAGCCCTCTAATGAGTTGCTCACAGCTTTGCTTTAACTCAAGTTGGCCTTTCATGGGCTACCCACAACTCTGTCTTTGTTCTCGTGCGGGTAACCTCACTGTTAGTCTCCAACTTAGCAGCTCTCTTATAGGTTGTCAAAAGCTCAGTATCAAGAGGTTCACTCTCTCGTGAGCCACCCTTAACAGCCCGCAGTGTTTGTCTCTCCTTCATCAGAATCCTTGATACGTACTCATGATGGTTAACCCTCCAAAAAAAAAAACACACGTAGCGGCTGTGGACACCTACAAACATGCAAAAGGAGGAAAATGTTACTGTTATCAAAGGACATGAGGAATAAAATTCCATAGAAGTGTAGATGATTATCTTGGCCAAGCCCTCCATCATGGTATTAATAACACTCTCGGTACCCTCGTAGCTGACTTCTCTGATATCCAAGGGCGACATGAACCTTGAAAGTCAATGCTTGACAACATTCACATCTTGAAGTCTGGACGCAAGAGAAATAGGTGGGGCCCTATTCTGTGCGGGAAAGTGAATGCCTACCTCCGGAGATGCCCGGCTTGGAGAGGTGACTAGAGAAGATGCCTGGACAACTGAAACAAATAGAGGAGCCACCTGCTGAGAACTCATAGGAGCATCATCCAGTCTCACCCTTTTAGGTGGAGGAGTTGCCGGCGCAGCCCTAGTGGAGTAAAGAACCTCCACCCTTGACTTATTTACTGTGGAACCAAAATAAAGGGAGTTAGCTTCTGAAGTTGAAAACAACACTCTTTAGCCATTGGGGGACAGCTGCCCTAGCACGTGTGACGAGTGTGCCAAGATGCAACACATTGGTGTAGGCATCGGGAACTTTTGACCTGTTTCTAGCACCTCTTCATAGATAGCAAGGTCTCTGGAGGAGTCATCAGAGGCTGGCTCACCCATCTCAGCCCAGTGGCACAACACCATGGGGGAATACAAAAATTAGATATCGAGCTTAACTTAGAACCATTAGTATTGAGAGAGCTAGAAATAGAGCTCACTTTAGAACTATCGTCATTAGCGACAACCTTAGCATGATATTTGCGTTGTTGTGGATGTGGGAAAACACTACCACCGTCATCTCTCGGCCCTTGCCCAGTGCCTTGCTTTGCGCACAACTACTCCCTAGCACCTAACCTGTCTGTCTGTGCCTCGGCGCCCATGCTTTCTCCTGTACCCGTGCTTGCCCATGTTTTCATGTTAGCAACAAGGGTGTCACCAGTGCTTGCCACGACGGCCTTGCCTCAGCCAGCACTTGCCTCCACACCCACGGCACCCTCGCCTGCCTTAATGCCCTAGGGGCCCTCACTCGCTGCCTCGGCGCCCCTGCCAGCTCCCTTACCGGCTGCCTTGGCCCCCTTGCTAGCGTCTGCTATGGCACCCCTGCCAACGTCTGCTATGGCACCCCAAGCACCTTCGTCGACGCCTTGGCCCGCACCCATGCTTGCTTCGTTGTCAGCATGTATTGTGGTGCCCTCACACGCGCTTGCATGCTTCGTGGTGCCACCTTACTTGAGGCTTGCTCCTTGAATCCTAATCCATTTGACATCTCTCCTCTTTGTATTTTTTCTCAGATTGAGTTGGAAGAATTGATGTGGGGGGGTTCTATTTATAGCCTAGGTTTTAGATTTGACAATGTTGTAATCAAGTTAAGAGTCTTAATAAGATTGGGATGTAATTTCCTAATCAGGGTGGAAAAGATATCCAAAATAGTCTGGAATGAGGAGTCTAACCAAGTCGGATAAGGAGCCCTATTTGAAGCCTTATTGCAAGAGACAAGCCTCCTGAGGAGAAAGTTAAAACAACGATAAGTTTTTCCCAACAGAGTGCTCGCCAACCCAGTTGAGTAAAAGGAATTCAAATCTCAAAGCAATAGCCGCGAGGGCACAAAAAAAAGAGGAAGAAGCAGGATACAAAATTCATCCTTGCTAAAATCTCTCTCTCCAAACCCCATTGGGCTTGAGGCATGCGGGCAAATAATGGGCCCGACCCAGACCAGGTCCAAAATTATGGACAAGGCCCAGAATTACAGATCATGCCCAACTTGGAGGCTTAGTTTAGGAATGCGGGCAATGCCCATTTTAGTAAGGAGGAAGCTAGGTCAGGTAAGCCGTGCCATCTTGAGGGAGTCAGGTCAGTGTCATGGTGAGAAACTCAGTCCACAACTGATACACGAGGAGATCTCCTTGGGATGCGTACGTCACCACCTCCATGGAACTGTTTCACTTGTTACGAGAAAGATGCCACCTCCACCAAATTACCTCACGTGATACGAGAAAGATATTTCAATTTGGAGGCACCTATAAATTGTAAGCCCCACCTACGCAAGGGAGCATCTCTTATATATCACTCACATCTAAGCACTCTACACTCCTTGAATAATAAAACACTCTGGCCACCGTAGCCCTTCATAGTGGAGTAGATTACCCTGACTGAACCACTTAATTTGTGTTTGCTTGTGTTAACTTTCATCATTTATTACTGAATTAAATACTTGATAGGTGATGCATAAACACATTTTGTGTATCATCAAATATGTATCTTATTTTTATTCATTTTGAGGATATTGTCCTCAATATTGTAATTCATTTTCTTCTTTCTTCCATTCTATAATAAAATTGTTCTTTTATAAAAAAAAAAATTACCCATGTACTAAATTGTAAGGACTGTTTGCAGAGGGTCCCGAGGCAGCTTTCGTAGTTGATTTATATGTTTCTAGGGGAGTGGCAGAGGTTTTGAATGGAAAAGTCATGGTAAGATTATTATATTTCTTTCTTACATTGATATTTATTAGTCATTTACTTATTTTTATCTGCTAGGTTATAGGAGGTAGAATTGCTTATTCATTTCCTTACAATGATATTCAGGTTATTTCCTCAGGAAGTTCAGATTCCATTGCTAGTGCACGGCCCGTTCTTTCTGGTATAATATATCTTTGTCTTTACCATCTAACACTCCTATGGAAAGTGAGTTCTATAATTTTTAATCTTTTTGCATGATCTGTATCATATCTGAGTCAAACTTTTGTGTTCTGCAAACAGCTATGTGTGAAAAACTATACATTTTTGAGGGTGAACTTGGTGCTGGAAGGTGTGTTTTTCTTGGTCTCATAAATCTCACTATAATAGTATTGAATTGTAATTTCTTGACAATTTTGTTATGCATTTTTACTGTCACAGAGCATATTAAATAAACAAACACATGCCTTACATGCTTATTTAGATAATCATGTAATTATATCCTGTTGGTGCCATTTAAAGAAAAAAATAACTATTTTTAGGGTTTTTAATATGTGCTTTGATTGGTAAGATTTTAATATTTGCTTTCTTTTCCTTTTGCAGTAAAATTAAAATGGTAATTGAGCTGCTTGAGGGCATTCATTTTGTTGCTTCAGTGGAGGCCATTTCTCTTGGCGCTCAAGCTGGGATTCATCCGTGGACACTTTATGACATCATTTCTAATGCTGCTGGAAATTCATGGTGATTATATTAGCACTTATTGGTTTTTTTTTTTAAAATTTTATTCTTGTTTATTGACCAAATTACCGAAGTCTGCAAGCTCCCCTACAAGCATAGTGAATAACTTCAGTAAGTAGGCATTTCAGTCCTGTAAAAATATGAGCTAATTCCTTTGTGTTTTGTTATGAATGGGATGGGGACGGGGAGGTTTAGTGTCCTCTTTAAAAAGGATTACCCAACTTCCGGGGGCAGCTTGACTCACGATTTCACACTCAGAAAGGTAGTCTCATAATCCAGCTATCCCCCTATTCTATTGGGGATGGATCAAACTTTGCAAATAAGAAGAGAAGAATAGGAGAAATCTGCCATGATGTAGGACAGGAGGACTAGGAATAAGAGAATAGAAAGAAGAAGGCGATATACAAAACCCTTGCAAGGAGGCCAAGAAACGCACAAAATTCTCCACAGAGAAATAAATTTTTATTATATCACTCTTTAATAAATATAGTGGAGGTTACATCAATATTTATAGGCCAAGTCCCCTACTAATATGAAAACTACTCTTCTATTAATATTTTAAAAGAGTTTCATAGGCAAACTCTTAAATTCATATACTACTAAAACTCTATAATAATTCATTAATTAAACTCTCACTAATATTCCTAGTCAAAAAGTACTTCTAAATTAAATAATAATAAAACTAATTCTAATAAACTATCACTTACACTTCCCAAAATTCCTAGTCTTTCGCTAAGGCTTTTAAAGTCAATTGTATTAGTTTAACCAACTAATGGCTGTGCTATCAATTCTCTCCTGCCGAAAAAAACTCGACTCCGAGGAGAGCTAGGAATACCATCTGACAGAGAAGTTTTCTAAATCATTAACAAACTTTTTTTCAGTTGTAGTGTACGTGCATCTATAGCACAAGTAAGAGTATCTTCTTTCTCCATTTTTCAAAAGAATAAGTATTAGCACTCTCCGCATGTTGTGCATCACGATCTTATATTCAAGTGCACCCTAAAAGTATATGACAAACCTTGAGAAGCAACACATCACTCACGACGGTTTCCACAAGGCTTACAATGGTGAATGTAACTAGATATCTCTTATCAACATTCAACTTGGTGTTAGTAATCCATGCTTACATGATATGGTTCCGGATTTGATTCTACTTTCAAATTTAGTTTCTTCACGACCTCTTCTGATATTACATTTGTGCAACTTTCCGTGTCAATCACTAATGAGCGTATCTGTCCTTCACAACTAACCGTTGTCTGAAATATTTTTCCTTGATGAATAAAATCGCCATTAGCAATTTCTTTATTAGCAATAAGCAGAGGACGGATAACATCCACAAAATTAACCTCACCCAAATCATCAAAATTAATCTCACCCATATCAAATCAAGAGGGTCTACAATATCTGTTTGAAATTCAGGCTCATCTGACTCTTTATTCACGTTGGAATTTTTCTTTTCAACCATAACAATAGATTTTGTAGGGCATTGAAAAGAGAGATGACCAACAAACGAGCTTGTGACCATGCTAAATAATTGCTTACATTTAATTTGAAGAGAAGGGTTATTGGCGACAATCTCTAAATGACTCAACTTGCTTCCTCTAGTACTAGAGACAGCCCCAGAAATCACACTAGCTTCCGACATGCCCACAGAATAGGATAAAAGCAAAACGATGAAATCAAGACCCAAGAATTGGAGAAGCAACAAAAAATATCTCAAACAATAGCCAAAAAGCCTTGTAACAGGTGGTTGAAGCTGGCCAGACTCGGCACAACCAGGAAAAATAGTGGCCAAACCTCAAATCAGCCCTAAACCATCCCAAATCCAATCCAACCACAACAAAACTTCATGGGTCAGGTAGATCTACCTTATTCGAACCCTACCCAGTGGGATCCAACAGAAAACAATAGGTGGAATACTATAAAAACCATATCGCACTCTGGAACTCAAAAAGGCCAAAAATATTAAAAAATTCAGAAACCCAATCAGATGGATTCAAAAAAATCCAAAAAAATCACCATAATTCTCAAGACATCGAGTCGAATCTACGATGTGAATTTCAGAAAATTCTGACCCTATGTGCCGCTGACATTAGCTTGTCAAAGACTAATGTCAGCTTGTCAGAATATGATGTCAGCCACACCGTTGAGGTCAAGATGATTTCCGCTAACTTTAAGGCTTCAAATTTGGATCAACGCTTTGATACCAAGTTAGATTATGAAGATTTAGGGTTTAGCGAAGGAGAAAGAGACTTGGAGAAGAAGAGTAATCATATTATGTGTAGAGTTATGTGTGATCGAACACAACTAATCCCAAGATTATATATAAAATACAAAGTACTAAAGTATCCTCAAGCTAAATATTACACATAACATACCATTATCAGGGTAGCATATTCCACAATAAAATGATGGAATGCATAAGCGGCTAACATGTTTGAGCAACATTGTGTACTAGCTTCTTTTACAGTCATCCAATAGATTTACTAGCAGCTAATTGACAGTGTCTTTAAACTAGTTAACTGCATATCACATCGACACCACAAGCTGTTCCAGAATAGCACACGGGCCCTTACATATGCTTGCATTTTGCGTATATGTGCGTGCACATGTGTGTATGTGTATACAATTATTCATCAAGTCGTTTAAGGTTTGTTGAGTTCTGCAGTCAAACATAAACTCTAGTTGCCAGGATTAGCTTTCTCATGGTGTTAATGTAGTGTATGAGAACCTTTTTTTCCTTCAATTTTTCTTTATCGTTCTTTGATATCTGCCTCTTTAGTGCAATTCCATTTGTCAATACTATTTTTAATTTTTTCCGATTTCACAGGGTTTTCAAGAATCAAGTTCCCCAATTGTTAAGGGGTAATCAAACCAAACATCATTTCCTGAATGCTTTTGTTCAAAATTTGGTAAGATCTGTTTGGATATATGTTTGAGATGAGTTAATTGAGTATAAGGAATTTTTTTTTTTTTCAAAAATGTTGATGTTTACCTTTGATGGTGTGGTTGGATGATAATTTTGTCACCTGCCATCCTTTAATCTTGCTATACGTTTATTTTGTCTTACGGCAGACTGAACAATCATGTTATTTCAGTTTAGGACCATCTAAAAAATTATGTATCTCATAGTATTTGAAAATTCTTGATGGAACACCAATTGGAAATAGCTTTTTTTAATCAAAAAATAAAAGATGTTTTGATCAAAAGGCGGAGAATTCGTCACATATTACTTTTCTTGAAAACTATAGTTTGTAGCAGTAGTATATTATTGTAGAATCACTTAATTTAGAGATACATAATCAAGTTTGCTAAACACCATCTACTCTAAAAACTGAAGAGAGTGTATAACTAAAGTATTTATTCGTCAACACGCCCCCTCATGTGCAACCTAGATTTTGGGCCAATCACGTGAAAATCTTTTAATAATTAGGGTGGCGCCGAGATTCGAACACAAGATTTTCTACTCTAATATCATGTTAAACACCATTTACTCTAAAAGTTTGAGCTGTTGGAGAGAGTGTAACTAAAATATTTATTCTTTGTTAAATTTAGAGAATTAACATAACACAATATTAGAGTGAAAGGGAGAGGTTAACAAAACTTAACCTAGCTCTCATACATCCCTTATATTTATAGTTAACCTATAATAATAAGAATTACACATACACCCTCTTACTATTAACAATTTACACATACTACCTTACTATTTTTAACACTTCCCCTCAAGCTGGACTATATATATCATATAATCCAAGCTTGGAATAAATAGTTGTAAGACGTGGACGACTCAATGCTTTGGTAAACATATCTGCAAGCTGATATTCAGATTTCACAAATGGAGTTGTAATCTCCCCAGCTACTATCTTGTCCCGAATGAAGTGACAATCAACCTCAATATGCATGGTTCTCTTGTGAAACATAGGATGGACAACGATATGGATAGCTGCCTAGTTGTCATAGAACAACTGTAAAGGAAGTTGAATTGGAAACCTAATTTCCTGAAGGAAATGTAATAGCCAAGACAACTCACTCGTCGTATGTGCCATTTCCCTATACTCAGCCTTGACACTAGATCTTGCTACCATGAGTTGTTTCTTACTTTTCCATAAGACAATATTACCTCCTAAGAAAGTACAATCATCAGTGGTTGATCTCCGATCAGAAGGAGAGCCAGCTAATCAGCATTTGAGAAACTTTCCACTCTAAGATGTCCATTAGCTCGATATAACTGTCTAAGTCCAGGAGTTCGTTTGAGATATCGTAGAATACGAGTAACTGCCTCCCAATGTGGTACTCTAGAACATCCCATGAACTGACTTATTATACTGACTACATAGGAAATATCCGATCGAGTGATAGTGAGATAATTAAACTTCCCAATCAATCTGCGATATTGACCCGGATTCTCAAACAATGCACCATCATCCATCAATAATTTTTTGATTTAGATCTATATGAATATCAATCGGTCTACTACCCAACAAACCTGCTTCCTCAAGTATGTCAAGTACATATTTTCTCTGAGATAAACAAATATCCTATTTAGATCGAGCCACCTCAATACCCAAGAAATATCAGCGTTTTCTCAAATCCTTAGTATAAAATCGATCCTGTAAGAATATTTTCAACTTGGTAATCCCCTCAGAATCATTTTCAGTAATCACAATATCATCTACATAGACCACCAATAGGACATATCCAACATCTGTCTGTCTGTGAAACACAGAATGATCTGTCTGACATCGAAGAAGACTAATCTCTAAAACTGCATTTGAAAACTTACCAAACCATGCCCTTGGTGACTGCTTCAAATCATACAAAGATTTTTTTAACCGATATACTCTTCCCATACTTAACCTGAGCAGTAAACTCAGGTGGTTGCCTCATGTATACCTCTTCAACCAAGTCACCATGTAAGAAGATATTTTTGATGTCTAACTAAAACAAGGGCCAATCAAGATTAGCAGCTAATCAACACTATAAGTCTGAGTAAAGCCCTTTGCA